ACACAATCCCCGCGGAGCGGGCACAGGCGGCGCCCCCCCTCTCCGTTTCTCCGGGCAGCGGGAGTGGCGTTCAGGCAGGTTCAGGTACTGCAGCGGGGTCTGTCCCAGGCAGGCAGAGAGAGCGAGCAGAACCCTGCAGATCTTACTCTCTTCTTATAGATCAGAGATCATTGTTCCAGAAAGCACCACTGTCTGAATTAGCCAATCACCATTGGCCAGGTACATATTCTGTCAGAGGCAGTTTTTAACCTATTGTCTATTTTTCTGCCAGTTATTATAACCCTTGTGCTGCTTTCTTACCATGCACTTATCTGATAGGGCAAGAGGCCTGTTCATTCTGTCCTTGATTGAATGAGAGAAAAGGCGTCACTCTTGCTTTGCTGGCTTGAAAGGCATTTTTTGTTTAGTCTTATGTGGGGGGGAAGAAGATGGACTGTTCCCCACAGATGGGGATGTTGATGAGGCCTTCTACAGACAGCTGAGACTCACCTCACAATCACAGACCTTGGTCTTCATGGGGGGCTTCAATCACCCTGATATCTGCTGGGGAGACCACACAGCCAGGCAGGTACAGTCCAGGAGGTTACTCCAGTGCATCAGTGATAACTTTTTGACTCAGGTGGTGGAGGAAGCAACAAGGAGAGTGTACTACTAGACCTAGTATTGACAAACAAAGAGGGACTGGTAGAAGACATGAAGGTTGGGGGCAGCCTTGGTTGTAGTGACCATGAGATGGTAGAGTTCAGAGTCATGTGCAGGAGGTACCAAGCATCTAGCAGGGTCAAACCCCTGGATTTCAGAAGAGCTACTTTTGGCCTTTTCAAGGAACTGCTTGGAGAAATCCAATGGGATAGGGTACTGGAAGGAAAGGGGGCCCAAGAGAGTTGGTTAATATTCAAGCACCACCTCATCCAAGCTCAAGATCAGAGTGTCCCAAAGAGTAAGAAATCAAGTAAGAGAGCCAGGAGACCTGCATGGTTGAGCAGGGAACTTCTGAACAAACTTCAGTGGAAGAAAGAAGTCTATAGATCATGGAAAAAGGGGTTGACCATTTGGGATGAATACAAGAATGTGGTCAGAGGTTGTAGGGATGCAGCAAGGAAAGCTAAGGCCTCCTTAGAATGAAAACTGGCAAGGGAAGTCAAGGCTTCTTCAAGTACATTGGAGGTAAAAGGAAGACCAGAGGAAATGGCCCACTGCTGAATGAAGCAGATGCCCTGGTGACAGAGGATAGGGAGAAGGCAGAGTTGCTCAATGCCTTCTTTGCCTTAGTCTTTACTGCTAAGGCTGACCCTCAGTATTCCCAAACCATCCAGACCACAGAAGAAGTCAGGAGTGGGGAAGACTTCACCTTGATTGAAGAAGATTGGGTTAAGGATCAGTTAAGGAAACTGGACATCTACAAATCCATGGGCCCTGATGGGATGCACCCATGCGTGCTAAGGGAGCTGGCAGAAGTCATCACTAGACTGTTCTCCATCATCTTTGAAAAGTCCTGGAAAACAGGAGAGGTTCCTCAAGACTGGAGGAAAGCCAGTGTCACTCCAATCTTCAAAAAGGACAAGAAACAGGATCCGGGTAACTACAGACCAGTCAGCCTCACCTCCATCCCTGGAAAAATGATGAAGCAGCTCATTCTGGGGATCATCTCTAAGCACATGGAACAGAAGGTTATCAGGAGCAGCCAGCATGGATTCACCAAGGGGAAATAATACCTGACTAACCTGATAGCCTTTTATGATGGTGTGACAGAATGGATAGATGCAGGGAGTTACACCTGCACCAAGTTACAACACTGGAAGTTCCACCTCAACATGAGGAAAAACTTCTTTACTGTGAGGGTGATGGAGCACTGGAACAGGCTGCCCAGAGGTTGTGGAGTCTCTGTGTCTGGAGTCTTTGAAGACCCATCTGGATGCATTCCTGGTGTTCCTGCTGCAGCAGGAGGGTTGGACTCAATGATCTTCAGACATCGCTTCTAACCCCTATGATTCTGTGATTCTATATTAAACAATGCCGGTCCTAATACAGAACCCTGAGGGTCACCACTCGTCACTGATCTCCATCTGGACATTGAGCTGTTGACCACTACCCTCTCACAGAATCACAGAATCTTAGGGGTTGGAAGGGACCTCGAAAGATCATCTAGTCCAACCCCCCTGACAGAGCAGGATCAGCTAGAGTACATCACACAGGAATGGGTCCAGGCGGGGTTTGAATGTCTACCGCAAAGGAGACTCCACAACCTGTCTGGGTAACCTGTTCCAGTGTTCAGATAGATATTCAGATAGATATTCAGATAGGTTTGTTTGCAATGTAACATTCAGATCCTTGTCAGGCCTACGAGGGCTGATCTGGTCTTGTTTGAGTACTCCACCGGATAATTTATGGAGGATATTGTGCTGATGTCTCACTTTATTCAACGGATTAATAGTTGGAGAGTTCTGCTCCCTCAGCCTTTCCTCATAAGGGAGATGTTCCACTCCCTTCATCATCTTTGTAGCTCTGCCCTGGACTCTTTCAAGCAGTTCCCTGTCCTTCTTGAACTGTGGGGCCCAGAACTGGACACAATATTCCAGATGCGGCCTCACCAAGGCAGAATAGAGGGGGAGGAGAACCTCCCTTGACCTGCTAACCACACCCTTTCTAATGCAGCCCAGAATGCCATTGGTCTTCTGGGCTACAAAGGGCACATTGCTGGCTCATGGTCATTGCTGGCTCATGGTCATCCTCCTGTCCATGATGGTCTCTGGATGAGACCATCCAGCTAGGTCCTTATCCACTGAACAATCTACCCATCAAATCCATATCTCCAATTTAGAGAGAAGGATGTTGTGGGGGACCATGTCAAAGGCCTTACAGAATTCCAGATAGATGACATCTGTAGCTCTTCCCTTGTCCACTGATATAGTCACTCCACTTACCTTCCCCTTGCACAGCCTTAAGGCAGGGCTATTGCTCAGCCTGGGGCAGTGCACAATACCACACACATCAGTTTCCTGCTCACATTCCCAGATACTGCTCTGCCTGTTGAGTTCCTTTTGTTCCATAGATACTTGTCTGAAGCATACTTCCAACTGAGCACACTTGTCCAGCTATGACATTCACTACTGCTTTCAGGTGCTAGGAGGACTTCCAGATACTGGAGCTCCATGCAGCCTGAGATCTGGACACCTATATTGATCCTTGGGAGGTCTGTTTGGGGGGAGATGTCAGCATAGGTAGGCTGTTTGTGTTACAGCCACAGCCTTGCAGTTGCAGCAGATGGACACCATTTTCTTCCAGCAGATCACTTTGAAGTCCCAGGACAGAGGAGAAAGGGACAGCAGGTACCAGCAAGAGGAGAAGGAAGAGAAGGGGACCAACTTCAGGCAACAGAGTTGTTATGGGCACAATCTGACATTTAGGAGTCCTTCAATTCCAACTAGTGCTTGTTTTCTTGGCATGTGTCTGTAAATGTAATATATGGGAAAAATAAAAGCTATTATGGTACATAAACCTGCTCCTCCCCTTGGGAGTCTGTGCCTCATAATACAGAGTGAACACCCCTAACTCCTATTTACTTATTCTGAAGTACAAGTCTCTTTGCACCTTGCACATGTAGCTGGTAGCATCACAGTTTTAGACTCTATTCTGTACTAGAATCACTGTTAATTGAGTTTCTGAATAAATTCTTTTGTGGGCTGTGTTTGTAAGCTAAAGGTAAGGGGACTGCTTTCTTTTAATAATTTCCTTTCACTCTAAATGTAAAAGTGTTCATTTTCTTTCAGATGCTTCAGGCATGCTCAGTCCAACATCTACCAGTACCATACACAGCGTTCCCACCTCTGATTTCTAATGACCCATTCCTTTTGCATCCTTCTCACCTCTCTCCACATCACCCATCTCACCTGCCACCTCCAGGGCAATTTGTTCCCTTCCAAACACAGCAATCACATTCAGTAAGTAATGCTTCTTATCCCTTCTCCTAAAATATTTGGGGGTTGATCAGCAAATAATGCTCTCGTCCTTCTAATAACATTCTGGTTGAGAGAACAAATGGATCTGATTTAGAGTAAGGGTTTTGTAGTAATGCTACCTGAGCAAGACATAGTCTGGAAAAAAAAAGAAGTACTTTTTAAAAATTAATTTTGATTCTCTTAAGATTTCCTCAGCTGTTGCCCACTGCATTTCCCTGGAGGCCTGTACTCCTGTCAGTCTGACAGTTTGCTTCACATACTGCTTCTGAAGGTGGTGTTCTTCCAGAAAGCAAAAGAGAATATAGAGACTTAAGTGTAGTGCAGCAGTGGTCTCAGAGAAAAAAACTTTGTAGAGATACCAGAAAGCACAAAGCATTATTCCTATTGTGTGCTTCTACTATGTTAATTCATGTTTTTTTTTCTGGTGACCACTGTATCCTCCCAAACACTAGTGTCAAAAGTATTAAACCATCTATGGCCTACTGGAACCTCTTTTCTGCCCTGCTTATGGAAATTATTGACTCTTTTCATTTAAACCAACTTGGATGAAAAGTTAGTCATCATAACAGGGCTTATGCAAACATTAGAGAAGATGCTATTTTGGACATGAAGAAAAAAATTACATTTTGTAATTTCTACTTACTAATCTTTTGCCAGAGGTTAGTAATTTCCACTTACTAATCTTCTGCCAGGCACCTTTCTGTCTGTTTGTTTGGAGCTCTACTAGTATTTCATTAATACAGAAATACAAAATAATTTCAGTGTTACTAACAAATATTGCTCAGGCTGTTTTGAGCAGTAACAAACACTGCTGTGTTAAATGTCAGGTGTTTGCACTCTTGTAATAACTTAATTATAGTCATGGGGGAACAGTTCTGCATAGTTTTCTCTAGTAATCAGAACGTCTTCCCTGAGAAAATGTTAGGGCTTCTTTCTTAACTTTGATTGCTAATTTAGCTTCAGGAATAGGTCCCTTGTTAACTTTTAACTCTGTTTGATAGCTTGATTTTTTTCTGTCAAGTCTTACTAGAAGAATTATTGCCTTAAAAATTCTGACTATTTAAAGTTTGTTAAGCAGAATGGGGAAACCATTTTCCTTTGCTTCCACAAGATGACTTTCATATCTGACCGTTTTGAAGTATTCAGTACTGGGAAAAGAAGGGTGAATTAGTGAAATAGGAGAGTTATTTTTTTCCTGAAAAATGAGACCAAAATGAGCCAAAATTTGAATTGAACTTTCCTAATAGCAAAAGCATAGCTTCGCGATAATGTATCTAACCTAAATATGACAATAGATTAGTTATGAGTATAAATAATGGTGTTCATAATGAAGATTTTTGCTTAACAGGGAAATAATGAATTGTTTTGCTGAGTTGTAAAACTATTTTCTTCAGTTTGAGAATATGTCTCTATTAAGGAAGTAATTTACTGCCTAATATATGCAGTCTGATGAAAGGGATTACAGGATCCTTGAATGAGGTGAATCCTTTGAATGACATGGGAGTCCTGGTAAGAGGATGCAGAGAAGGGAGAGTTACTAAAGTTACCTTCTTTGCTTCAGTCTTTATTACTAAGACCAACCCTCATGAATCCCACACTCTGGATGTAAGAGAAAAAGCCTGGAGGAAGGAAGACTCCACTGGTCAATGAGGATTGGGTTAGAGATCAGTTAGGTAAATTGAATAAACACAAATCCATGGGCCCTGATGGGATGCACCCAAGAGTGCTGAGAGAGCTGGCTGATGTTGTTGCTCTATCACTCTCCATTGTTTTAAAAAAGATCATGGCAAACAGGAGACATGCCTGAGGACTGGAGGAAAGCCAGTGTCACTCCAGTCTTCAAAAAGGGCAAGAAGGAAACTCCAGGAAACTACAAACCAGTCAGCCTCACCTCCATCCCTGGAAAAATGATAGAGCGGCTCATTCTGGAGGTCATCTCGAAGCACATGGAAGAGAAGAAGGTTATCAGGAGCAGTTAGCATGGATTTACCAAGGGGAAATAATGTTTCACTAATCTGATAGCCTTCTATGATGTTGTGAATAAATGGATAGATGCAGGGAGACCAGTGGATGTAGTCTGTAGTCTAGCTTGATCTTAGCAAGGCTTTTGACACAGTCTCCCATAACATCCTCATGAGCAAGCTCAGGAAGTGTGGGGTAGAAGAATCAACAGTGAGATGGATTGAGAACTGACTAAACAATGGAACCCAGAGTGTGGTTATCAATGGTTCATAGTCCAGCTGGAGACCTGTAACTAGTGGAGTCTCCCAGGGATCAGTGCTGGGTCCAGTCCTGTTCAACATCTTCATCAACAACTGTCCTGGTTTGAGACTTAGAATTGACAACAAAGTCTCTCTCTTTTTCTCTCTCTCCTTCCCTACCTGGGTGGGAGCGAGAGGGGATCGAGAGCGTTATTGTTGGACCTGAGTCAAACGGTGACAACAACCTGGATGAGGGGATGGAGTATATCCTCAGCAACTTTGCTGATGATACAAAACTGGGAGGATTGGCTGGTTCACCAGAAGGCTGTGTGGCCATTCAGCAAGATTTGGACAGACTGAAGATCTGGGCAAAGAAGAACCTAATGAGGTTCAACAAGAATAACTGTAGAGACCTGCAACTGGGAAGGAATAACAACATGCACCAGTACAGATTATGAGCTGACCTGCCAGAAAGCAGCTCTGTGGAGAAGGACCTTGGAGTCCTGGTAGACAACAAGTTATCTACAGGACAGCAATGTGCCCTTGTGGCCAAGAAGGCAAATGGCATCCTGGGGTGCATTAAGAACAGTGTGTCCAGCAGGTCGAGGGAGGTTCTCCTCCCCCTATACTCTGTCCTAGTGAGACCACATCTGGAGTATTGTGTCCAGTTCTGGGCTGCCCAGTTCAAGAGGGACAAGGATTTACTTGAGAGAGTCCAATGGAGGGTTACGAGGATGATTAAGGGACTGAAACACCTGTCATGTGAGAAAAGGCTGAGAGACCTGGAGCTGTTTAGCCTAGAGAAGACTGAGAGGGGATCTTATTAATGTATATAAATATCTGAAGAGTGGGTGTCAAGAAGGGGGGGACAATCTCAGTCCTGGCCTCTGATAGGACAAGGGGCAATGGATGCAAACTAGAACACCAGAAGTTCCACTTCATGGAATCATTAAGGTTAGAAGGGACCTTAAAGATCATCAAGTTCCAACCTCCTACCATGAGCAGGGAACCCTACCACTAGATCAGGTTGTACAAAACCTCGTTCAACCTGGCCTTAAACACTTCCAGGGATGGGGCATCAACAACCTCCTAGGGCAACCCATTCCAGTTCCTCACCACCCTTACAGTGAAGAATTTCTTCCTAATATCTAACCTAAATCTCCCCTCTCTCAGTTTAAAACCATTATCCCTTGTCCTATCACTATCTTCTCTGATGAAAAGCCCCTCCCCAGCTTTCCTGTAGGCCCCTTTCAAGTACTGAAAGGCCGCTATAAGGTCTCCCCAGAGCCTTCTCTTCTCTAGGCTGAACAGTCCCAACTCTCTCAGCCTGTCTTCATAGCAGAGGTGATCCAGGCCTTTGATCATCTTGGTGGCCCTTCTCTGGACCCTCTCCAACAGGTCCATATCTTTCTTGTGCTGAGGGCACCAGATCTGTACACAGTATTCCAGGTGGGGTCTCACCAGAGCAGAGTAGAGGAGCAGGATCACCTCCCTGGCCCTGCTGACCACACTTCTTTTGATGCAGCCTAGGATGCAGTTGGCTCTCTGGGCTGCGAGCACACACTGGTAGCTCATGTTGAGCTTCTCAACATGAGGAAAAAACTCTTTACTGTAAGGGTTAAAGAGCACCGGAACAGGCTGCCCAGAGAAGTTGCAGAGCCTTCTCTGGAGACTTTCAAGACTCGTCTGAATGTGCTTCTGTGTGACCTGCCCTAGATTCTGTGGTGATCCTGCTCTGGCAGGGGGGGTTGTACTCAATGAACTCCAAAGGTCCCTTCCAACCCCTAACATTCTGTGATTCTGTGATCACAGGAAGATAGGTTGGAAAGCACCACATGAGGTCTCTAGTTCAAGCTTCTGTTCACAACAGGATCATCTATTAGGTCAGGTGAGGGTGCTCGGCTCTTTTTCCAGTTGGGTCTTGAAAGCCTCTGAGGACGGAGACCACATAAACTTTCTAGGCTCCTGTTCCACTGCTTGACTGTTCTCATGGTGAAAAGTGGCTCTTTGTATTTAGCTGGAACCTCTTTTGTTTTGACTTCTGCCCGTTGTCTCTTGCCCTTCCACCATGCACCACTGTAAAGAGCCTGCCCCCATCATCTTGATGAATTTTCCACAGGTATTGGAAGGCTGCTGTTAGCTGTTCTTCCCCCTCCCCCAAGCCTTTTCTTTCTTCTCAGGGCAGAAAAAGCCCAGTTATCTCAAGCTCTTCTGATAGGATAAATGCTCCAGTCCCCTGACCACCTTGGTGGCCCTCCTTTGAGCTTGTTCTACCTTAACAATGTCTTTTTTTTTTTTTTTTTTTTAATTTGGGCACCCAAAACTGGATGTAATATTCTACATGAGATCTAACAAGTATTGAGTAGAAGGTGGATAATCAGTTTGCTCAATCTACTGGCTATGCTACTGTTTGTTAATGCAGCCCAAGATACTGCCAGCCTCCTTTGCTGTCAGGGCACGCTGTTGACTCATGTTCAGCTTGCTGTCTACCAAGGGCCCCAGGGCCTTTTTAGCACAGCTGCTTCACAGCCAGTCGTTCCCCAATCTGTGTTGTTGCCAGGGGTTCTTCCTTCCCAGGTGCAGGACTCAGCATTTGTCCTTGTTGAATATAATAAGTTTCCTGTTGGTTCATTTCCCCAGTGTGTTCATGTTCTACTGTATGGCAACCCTACCTTCCAGTGTATGGACTTTTCTCTGCAATTTGATGTCAGCCATAGACTCCATGAGCAAGTACTCTGTGTCTTCCAGGCAATTGATAATGTTGTTAAATACGATAGGTCCCTGAAGTATACCACTTGTTACCAGCATCTTGGTAGACTACAATCCATTAACCACTATGATCTAAGCCTGATCATCCAAATATTTTATCCATCTGGCTGTCCGCCCATCCAGACTGTAACATCCAAACTTGGTTACAAGAATATTGTGGGAGACAGCGTCAAAAGTCTTGCTAAATTTGAGGTAAATGACATCCACTTCTCTCCCCTCATTCATAAATCCAGTCACCTTATCATACTAAATAACTTGGTTGATTCAACATGATTTTCCCTTGGTACAGCCATGTTGACTCTCCCCTCCTCCACATGCCCAGAAATATGTTCCAAGAAGACTCACTCTACAATGTTCCCAGGGACTGAAATAAGGTCAACTGACCTGTAGTTTCCCAGATTGTCCTTTTGGCCTTCTTTTTGATGAATGCAATGTTTGCCTTTCTCTGGTTGTCAGAGATCGCCCTCTGATATCCACAGTCTTTTAAAGATGATAAAGAGACGCCTTTCAAGGACATTGGTTGGTTCTATCAGCACCCTTAGATGTAGTCCATCTGGTCCCATGGACTTGTATGGGTCAAATTATCTCAAGTAATCAGTCCCTGACTCAGTCCTCATCCACTGCTAGTATTTCTTCTTTATAGACTTCTCCCTGCCCAAGTGGCACAAAAGGGAGGGATAGGGGCTTACAACCAGTATATAGCAGTCATGATCTGCTGCACTTTCCTTTTCACACTTTTTCTCTGCTCCAGCATGGGTTCATCTGCTCTGGTGCCATAGAGCACCTCATCCTTCTCTGACTTTGGTGTTCCCTCTGCTGTTTCCTCACTCTTTTTTGTTCTCTCCTACTCTCCATACAGCTTTTAATTTGCCCTTTCTTAAATAGGTTTTCACAGGGGCACCACGTACATTGCTGATTGACTCAGCATTGGCCTGCAGTGGGTCCATAGACGAGCCAGCTGGAAATAGCTGTGTCTTGCACAAGGCAGCACCTTACCTCTTCCCAGAAAGGCCAGTCACCCCTGCAGCTTCTGCTCCGCCACATATACCCAGTACAACTCCATAAAATTTCCACAACTCCTCAGAACATATAGTTGGACTTGTGTTTTTTTTAGTATTAAAAAATAAATTTTAAAAGCCTGGTTTTCTATTAATACAACAAACCCTGTGTTTGTTTTGGCCACTTCAAATGATAGAATGAAGTAGAACTGCTTGGAGAACATCTTCCTATTGAAAGCTTTACCTACCCTCCATCAGCTCATCCACCAACATTGCCTTCCTCAGCTCCTATCCAATTCTTAACCCATGATCCTTTACATCAAGAGGTTTCATTTGGAGTTGTAAGTATTGCTTTTTTGTACTACATCCTCATGCATGCTGAGTTCAAGTTCTTGATCTTTGCTCTAAGCTGCAACCATGTTATTGAAAAATGGCATTTTTGCAATTGAATTTCATTAGTAGCTGCAGCTGTGGAAAGTCAGAGTGGTTGATTTTTGTGGTTACGCTTCATATAGTCTAAGGGCTCAAACTTGGAAGAATGAAAACATGCTAACAAAATCTCTGAGCCATTGTTTTTCATAAAAGTAAATGTCTCTGAGGCCTCTGAATACCATTTCAGTAGTGGTGTGTGAATTTTGGTTCTAAAAATCTGCTACCATATTTTTTCACTATTAAGTATTTTTAGAAAAATACAATTAATGTCTAAGTTACAATTCTTTACCTGTTTCCATTTTAGTAGACAATGCAAGATGTTTTAAACAGTCATACTGAGGACTTACATAAGTAAAGAGCTTTGTGTGCAAATCAAAACAGGAAAATAGTCTTTTTCTCCTATGGGAAGAATGTATTGAAGCTGTAAACTTGAATATCTCTTTAGGCACCATATCTGTATGCAGTTGAAAGGCTACAGCCCCTCCTCCCAAAAGTGAATGTAATTGAGCCCAACTCTAAATGTGATTTCTTTATTTATTAATTTTAAATCTTGCTCTTTATTTAAAATAGTTTTGCTGTGGAGCATCCTGGCAGTGCCCCCTAATGGATATTTGGCTTATACCAGCGAAAGAACTCCTGTATATATGTCGTTTAAAACTTTCATTCCTACCCAACCAGCTGCACAAGCCAGCACATTGCACCAGGTCAAAAGCCCTCAGCTATTGGCCTGCAGCATGTTCACCAATTCAAGTCCTGCCTGTCCAAACCAACCTGTATATAGGCTAAGCCTTACAAAATGCTTATTAGCTAGCTTGCAAGGGTTTCTAGTTAGCATTGTTGTTTTTTTTCCTGCAGGATAGTATAATTGTATGTTACTGATTATATTTGTTGATCAAACAATTCTTTGAAAAGGCTGGTATTTTTTGGCTTGGACGGGGCCGGATTTTTTTTTATAATGCTTTATTTTAAATGTATTTCAACATTCACTTTTCATTTAATTTCATTATTAAATAAGACGAAAATATTGACATTTTTCTTCCTTTTTACAGCCTTACCCACCTTTTATGCCTCGAAGACTTACAGGGCGCAGTAGATACCGATCACAGCAACCAATATCACCACACTCATACCATCCCAGTCTATTACCATATGTGCTGTAAGTCCAAAGCACATTGTACTCATAGATTACTAAATAACAATGTAAGCTAGTTGATCCCCTCAATGTTGGTTTTTTTTATGTTTGGGCTCTACCACAGGGTACAAACAATTGAGACATTCCCAAGGAATAAGAAAATTTGTAGTTATATTTAAAATTTCCAGTCTGAACAGCATACATACCTGAGCAAGGAATAAACAAGTACAAGTGAACAGTTTGATGATAATGTAGCTTTGGGATCTGCTATGCCTCTTCTTTCTGTCAAAATCTCTTTAAAGATGTTAAATGTAAAATGATTACTTTTGATTCTTGGATAATATTTATGAGGTATATCCATGGTTGCCTCCTAAAGTCGACTTTTATAGAATAAATATCTAACAGTCCTTACAAAACCAAACCAAACAAAAAAAACCTCTCCAAAACCAAAAACCAAAACAAAACCCAAACCAAGCAAATTAATTTACTCTTAATTAATTACTGAAACATAATGAGAGGAGCCTTCTGGGTATAGGTTTTCTTTGTTTGGAGGATTTTGTTTCTTCTGAACTGTTGCAACTTTTGAACTTCTGCACCTGACTAACCATTTCTGAAAGAGAAGAGATGGGGGAAGTAACATTAAGGAATTATCAGTAACCTTTTAAAGTAGATTCTGTCTGTTGTAGTTTAGGTGTGTGACATGGAATTTATTGTTCTTTGTAGGTTCTGTTTTTGAAATTAATACAAAATGCTCAGAAAATGATTTATTTTAAAGGTGACCTTGACAGGCAGATAATCCAACTTTGTCATTTGGTGTTTTGCCACAACATCTATAGTTTCTGTCTCAGCAGTTCAACTTGCATCAAAATAGCGCCAAGATATATGATTGTCACAGTTTGACTCAGGATCTACAACAATGCTCTCAATCCCCTCCCTCTCTGTC